GGGAGAGAGAGGCCTCTGGCCCTGAGGACTAGGGGGGGGAGGTGGCCATTGGGCACTGTAAATGGCAATTCTGATCTGCAAAGGTTTTTCGGTTCTATCTTTGCACTCTCTAAATAACAAAGGCTTTTGCTATCCAGAACACCACAATCCTTGAATAGGTTTGGTGTCTTTGGGGGGGGGGGGGGGGAATGCTGCTTCTTCCTGGCTGGCTCCACCCACTTTCAACATAGCCACACTGCGAAGCCTCTGCTGGGCCAGTTTACATTGGGAGGGAAAGCATGTCTCTGTTTTATTTTACTTGGGTCTCTTTAGCCTTGACTGAGAACACTTGTTTTTTTCATTGGGGGGGGGGGCTGCTTCAGCCACTCCTAAGCTCTTCTTTCAATTTCCATTTCATTTTTAAATGGTAAGCCCATCTGCATGAACAACAAGATGGGGGAGGGGGAACGTGCAGATCAGGGACTTTTTAAAATCTCCTTTTGCCCCGTGAGCAGCCCAGAGAGCACATTGGCAAGGAACGTGCACTCTGTACATGGTCACACTCTTACTTTTGCTGTTACTTAAAATGGTGTGAAGGAGTTTCAAAAGGGCAACCAACTGGGATGGACTAAAGGGAATGACGGGATTGCCCAGTGGAAACAGTGGGAGAGGCCTGAAGGCCCTTGGGGAAAGACTAGTGTCACAGGAGTCCCAAACATACAAATTCCACTAGTAGAAAACGCCATTGAAGATGGCCAAAACAATATATTAAACAATTATAAAGTTGGTGGTGTCACAACAATGACATTAGTGCATCCCGTAACTATAACAAGGCACAAGATGCAATATTTTCTCCTTTGAAAATAAGACATAAAGGAGAACCTATGATTTGCTTCTTGTGTTCTGTTGAAATTGCTGAAATCAGGTTCCACTTACACAGCCGTCAAACTGAAGAGGTCAAAGGAGACACATCTTCCAAGTATCTAGAACGGGCGTCTTTGCAAAGGCTGTTTGGACGATGTTATGACTATGGGGACTCCTCCTATCAGGTCACACTGACTACATGGACTCTTCGAAGGAGGAACTATTGCGTCTTGTGCCTTGTTATAGTTACGGTATGCACAAATGTTGTTGTTGTGACACCACCAACTTTATAATTGTTTAATATATTGTTTTGGCCATCTTCAATGGCGTTTTCTACTAGTGGAATTTGTATGTTTGGGACTCCTGTGACACTAGTCTTTCCCCCTTGTTGCTTGGATTAATTGATTGGCAGGGGCTCCACTGAAATACACTGCAGAACAAAAAAGTTGCAAAGAAAATGCAGAATGGCTTTTCCATTAAGGGCTCAGATAGGCTCCTCTGGGACTGGCATGACAGCCCCAGAGTGCAAAGACAAGTCCTAGGCATAGAATCAGTGCTTGGGACTAGAATGACAGCCCCTAGAGTAGAAAGAGGGTTCCGAGGAAGAGAATCGGTGTTCTGGGACTGCAATGACAGGTCACAGAGTGGGATGTCAGCCCCTGGGAACAGGCTCAGTGCTCTGGGACTGGTGGTGCAGCCTGGCGGGGCAGGCAACACTGCAGGGGGGGCCCCTTCAGATTTAAACTTTCCCTTGTGTTTATTCCTCTATGTGCTTTATTCATACCCCACATTTCTACCCAGTGGGGGCCCAAAGTGGCTGGTGCCATTCCCCACCATTCCACCTTCACAACAGCCCTGTGAGGGCGGTCAGGCTGAGAGAGAGAGGGAGGGGGGGCTGGCCCCAGGCCACCCAGTGAGCTTCCACGGGGCCTGGGGGGGGGGCATTCGAACCCAGGCCTCCCAGAGCCTGGTCCAGCACACTCTAACCGCTAAAACCACGGCAGCTCTGAAGCAGTCCAGAAAAGTCCTCCCCGGAAGTAGAGCCGGCGCCAACCCCGCTGCCCCCCCCCCCCAAGCTTTCCACTGGCAGCGGGGAGTTCGCAGCACACACCAAACCCCTCCCCCCTCTGCGGACGCCCCAGCGGTGCAAACCCGACGACGGGGAGGCGGTCGGCGGCGTCCC